TTTTTTTTTTTTTTGATAGATTATTGAATTAATGGAAATAAAGAATATTTTTTCGAGAGAAGAAAATTTCTAAAAAAAATCCTATTCTGTAACACGAAAGACTATTTTTATTATTGAATTCTTTAAATGATTTAAAAAAATGGACTAATAATAATGTTTGCACATCTAGGCGTTTCTGTTTTTAGGTTCTAAAAGAATAGCTTAAAAAATTTTTTTGATAATATTGTTTCGTAATAATAGCAGTAATACACGTTTAAGTGTAAGTGTTTAAGATTCGTGTCTTTGAACGATTCAGAATTCAATTCGTTTAAATAAATTAATATTCATATGAGATTCAAATTAAGTGGGAAATCGACGTATTTGTATATTTTAATATCTTAATTTCATATTCAAGATTTTGAAAATATTGTTGTATTTTAATAAATTAGGTAATTATTAATGGTTATAGCACAAAATTAAGAATCTTAATTTTTTTCAATAAAACCGGTAACGAAAATACCTCTTTTTATAAAAAAAATTAAAGGAAGTACTCGGACCCGACTCAGGACAACAAATTGATGGGTTGAATTTTTTATCTAGCCTATTTTAGAACTACTTCAATATGAAAAAGGAAATTTTCGGAATAATTGATGATTACTCCGTGATGATCATTTCCAAATCACAAGCTCTTTAGCGTAAAAAAGAGATAGAGGTGATTAGATCATTTCTAAATTTATCTACTTTTTCGCTCAATTTGTAATTTGTCCTCCGACCTGCATATTTTCATCTTTTTGAGAATGCGCCATATGAACATGAAAAATGAATTCTATAAATAAAAAAAAAATGCATTATGCTTTATCGTTATGATTATGCATAATGCATAATGCATAATGCATATATGCTTCTCTAACATCAAAAGAATAAAAATTGCAATTTAGGCCTTCCTGTGCCACTTTCGTTGCATGTTTAGATTGTTTAGTTGAGTCATCAAATAATAGAAAAATTTAATTTTGCCGATCACTTAGATGTAAAAAATTTTTCTTGGTAGATCGTAAGACAGGTATTGTGTAAATAAGTTCATTATAGATAGGTATAACAAAATCTTACAAAAATTTTTTCTAAATTTTTTTTTCTAATAATATAAACAATAAATCGGTATAAGGCAGATATTGTGTATAAGTAAAATTTCTGATCTATAATTAGAGTTCTGAATGGTTCAGGTCAGGTCAGGTCAGGTTATATCAGATTATCTGTTTGACCTGACCTGAAACTAAAAAAAAGTTTTATTTTATATAGTTTTATATAAATATCAAAAAAAAAGTCATATAATTACATACGTTTCTAATAGATCTAAGCAAAAAAGTAATTCTTTGAATTCAAAATATGTACATGTACAGTATATGGTCAGAAATTACAATGTGAGTTACTGCGCAGATGCTAGATCTGGTATTCGATACTCGAATTTAAATCTGGATGGAACGAAGGAAACTGGATTTATCATATCTAGATAACCGAAGAAAACTCGAATAAAACTAGATATAAATCTGAAGGATTCGATATATTATAAGTTACTATAAAATAAATCGATCATATATAATTCATTATTTAAATTCTTTAGTTTATCCGCTATAAAACAATGGATTTATAAGTTATGTACACTTGTACAGTATAATAAAAATTCAATATAGTAAGTATAATAAAACGAAATCTGTTGTACGAATGTACGAACTTGATCGGTTGATCTTGATCCGCAGATCAAATTTTTTTATTGGTTAATAAATAAAAATGTAAGGTTTTAGAAAGACGACTTACTTGTTTAAGTAAAAGATCATCAAACAAGTTTTTTTTTTAATATAAATTCCTTTCAGTTTTTCTGTTAAGATTTCCAAAAAAAAAAAAAAATTGATTTTATATGAAAAGACTTTGAAAAAAAAATTTATCCCCAGTTCGGAGTTCGGCTGCATATAATAAATTTATTCCGTATTTTTTTTTATTTCCGATAAGTGTGTCATATTCACGGATAAAATTTTTAAAAATTTGCTGCGCTATGAGAAATTCTTTTTCTCGCAAAAATAATGAAATTATTCATTTCTTGTGAAATTTTATTTATTTATTATTATAATAAACTTTTTAATTATTTAAAATAAATTTCATGTAAAAAAATCACTTGTATTTTTAGCTTTTAATTTCTAAAATATAAAAATTTTACGTTTTTATCGTTCGTTTTTTTACAAATCACAATATTAATTACTTTATTAATACATCTCATAATACCATCTCATAATACGATTAATTGTTCGATCAAGATCTTTGTCAATTTAATCCTAGTTTGATTATCAGTTGTAATAATTTTAAAATTTTCATTATTCAAATAAATCGTTGCTTTTGGAGATATTAAACTAATTTTATAACTTGAATTTCTCTTATCTTCTTCAAATTCATCTATTCTACATCCAAATAAAATATATTAAGTAATTTTCTTTAATTTTATTAGTTAGTATGAAAATAAAAAGATTTTATTTTGTTTAAAACTTACCATTTGTTCAGTTAATTCATTAATAAGTTTTGAGACATCAAATTCCCCACAAACATATCTTTGTTGATTTAATTGATTTTCTGCTGAAGTTAATGATGTTTTTGTATTATGAATATTAAATGTTCCATTCAATGATGCTATTAGCGAATCTTTTCCAAGATTAACCAATTCAATATTTGAAGCAAGCTTAAATAACAATAAAACTATTTTATTAGAGAATTCAAACAAATTATGTGTAAATAATTATTAAACATCAAACTTACATTTTCTGTCATAACAGTCCTGACAAATTGTGAATTAATAGAAATATTAACGATATCTAAACACTCATATAAAGTAATTAATGAGTTTGGTAAATTTGGCCTTATATTTCCCGATTCTTTTATAATCTTTTGAGGAATCAAAACATGTCGAGGTTTCTTTTCTCTCAGTATATTTGTTACCTCATTGATTGTTAAATTGGAAGATATATAGGTTTTATTTGTAAACCTTCAAACGCTGACATCGCCTCCTCACAATCATACTCGGATTCTTTTTTAAATTTTTCATTAATTAATCACGCGAAAAAGTAATATAATAATAATTATTACAATGTACAAACCTGTAAATATTATTGAATTGTTTGAATTATTTCCTCACTTTCTAATGAAATTAATGGTTGCACCACTACGTAATGACGGATGTCCAGCGAAGACAACACATGGTTCTTGATATTTTTCCCGTAATGAACTATCAGCCCTAGAAGCATAATATAATAACGATTGCTCAATCATGTCTTGATGATGCATCGGATTATCTGGCAAGTACATTTTTTGCTGTCTCTCGGTACACATCCTAATAACATAAAGATAGTATTAACAAATATCTTGTTCTTGTTTCATGATTAATATCAATTATTGTATAAAAAATTTTCAAAACAATGATCATTTATCGAAGTTTTTCCCAAACTTTTTTTTTTATAGGGAACAATTAATTAACATACAACTCCCCACATATATTAGAATATTTGAGGGATTCCTCAGCTATAGGAGATACTGCATAGAAGGGAATACCACGTAATCCTACGGCCCTTAGGTGTTGACTCAAAAAACCTATTATATCAAAAATAATTCCATTCATCGTACAAGGGAATAAAACATTTCCTTTATTTTTTAGAGTGTTGGCTAATAATTATAATTATTAATTAATTAGTTATAATATTTAAAAGAATGTTATTAAATCATGCTAAACTTAAATTATATTTATTCGTACCAACACAATTTCCAATTTCAATAAGAATGGTTTCAAATCTAGCTCCATCCTTATCACGCAAGTCGCTAAGAATGATAACATCAGCATTAATTAATACCGTCTCATCAAAAGGTAAAGGATGTATATTTTGTACCGTGGATGATGATGACACTATACTAATCTATTAAAAAAGATCCAATTTTTTTTTATAGTAAGTAAATAATTAATTAAGTAACATACTATCTATATCCTTAAATGTTAAGTTACCTTTTCACCTCCACAATCAATCATCCAATTAGCACTACCAAGGCAATAACCTGAACTATATGCAGTAACTTCGAGTTCATATAAATTCTATTGAGTATGTTAGAATTATATAAAAAAAAAAAATTACTGAAAATATGTGTATCAGCGAAACTCACCAGATGTTCACCAAATCTTACAGGTCTCACTTTATCAATACAAGATTGAATGACTGCTATTAAATATAAAGATCGCGTAACATTTCAATCTGCAGTGACACCGAAATTTTAGTAGATCCAGGTTGTGAATGAGTTCGACTTTTAAGTACACTATCACCAAAGAAATGCACCAATTCCTTCATCATCTGTCTATAAAAGAAAAAAATATGATTAATAAATAAATATAGATTCAATTATTTATATTTAAAAATTATTTTACCGTCCAAATAAAACTGTAGGTTCTGTAGCGTAAATCATTCCTTTGAAATTAGTATTCAGTAATATAAGGTAAAGCTAACATATGATTATAATTGGTAATAAATATGAAATCAATATTCCAATCGATGCTACTAAATTTAGGAGTTCCACTAAAAATTGACCACGCCGACGAACTCCACCACCTGCACCTCCACTACCATCACCAGTTGAATCAATTAGATGATCCAATTTACGACGTTTCTTATCATTTTCTTTATTTTCTGATATAGCATCATTAGAAGATGATGTATGATCCGAACGATCTGATATATTGGAAGAAACTTCAACAGAAACTGATGCATGTTGTTTTGCTTTTGACCCGATGATATCACGAGGAGGAAATTCTAAAAAGTAAGTAGTATCTAATTAATATATTCATTTGCATTAATTTGATTAAAAAACAATTTCTTCTTAAGTTACGACTTAACGGATGCTAATTTTAAAAAATGATAATAATAATCAGTTTAATTAATTTAATTCACTGATATAAAAATAAATGTTAAATGTTAATGAAACATGTTCTATGAATTGCATCAAAAACTATGTATAGTTACCAATTTCATTTTGGTAGAATTTATAATACGTTTAAAAGAATTTTTTTTAAGGCAGATCTGATTTTATATTATTTTTAACGTATGACAATGCAGGTGTAACGTACAACTGTAGCACGACAAATAGAGCGTGACAAAAAAAAATATTCACCCCAGCTTAAATTTTATCGTATTATAAAGGTGGTCAAAGAATTTTTCTACATTATGACAATTTTAATGTTAATCCACTGAAATATATTCATGCAACTTTATAGGTTGAATGAAGTCACGTACATACTGCGGCAATGGTTTGACTTAAAAACAAATGTGCTAACAGTTAATACAGTTAATTCAGAATAAAATGACTTTAGAAAGATCCGGCTATATTCTATTTAAGTTATATATAAATAGTTAATAATATACAGTATCTTGATTTATTTCAGAAAATAGGAATACAAACGAAATCTTTTTAAATGTTTGAAGTATGGATTTGTGAGAATTGAATATGCATTGTGGTTGTAATAATTTTACTATAATCACGTGCTCGGGCTTTTTTGACTGTTACAGTTGTAATCGTTAAAATCAGATCTTGCCTTAAAATTCTTTTAAAAATGCTATTTATCTATTATAAATTGTGAAACGAGTTACCCAAGGTTACATAACCTTTGCAACCAGTCATAACTATTACATCAATGGTAAAACTCGTGTCCTTGTTTTGGATAGCGAAGAGATCGATGATCCCACAGGATGAAAATTGGGCCACGAAATTATTTATTTTATGTTTAGTTATTTCTTCAACTTTCGTATATAATATTAATGGAGTTGTTGATAGAGAAGACATGGAAAAATTGCATTTGATGACAGATTTAAGTAATTTTATCAATAACCAATGAAAAAAAGATATAAGGTACAAGTATATGATTTATTACTTTATATCATAAACCGAATATTAACTATAAAATATTTTAAATATATATTAGTACTATATCACAATCGGATTTATATATTTTTTCTCAATCACACGTTTTGCTTTACATGAGAAGTTGGTATCTGCCTCAAGAATTTTTCTATAGAGATAAATTTTCAGATACCATATATCGGAAAAAGAAAAGGTAAAGGCGCGATTTGTTGAGCAAAGTTAGTATTCATATTGGTTGGTAAAGCTTAAATGTGACTAAGGTTTACTTTCATGAAAGAAAGTTAGACAGATTACTATTTCCTTTTACAAAATTTTAATAATCATTTATATAATAATAAATAAATATGATAGACGCAAAAAACAATTAAGCAATGAACGCGTCCATTCACGTTTTCTGTTTCAAAATACTAAAACGCCAACAGAGTTAGATTCTTTCTTTTACAAAAATTTTTAATAGTTGTTTATATAATAGGTGCGAAAACAATTAAATAATGTCCAATTTTAACGCCATTCACGTTTTCTATTTCAAGATGCTAACGCTAACATATATAATCAAACTTTTTTTTACAAAATTTTTAAAAATCGTTTATATACTAATAATGAAATCATAGGCGCAAAATAAATTAAGCAATGCCCCCGATTTGAACGCATCTATTCACATTTCTTTTCAAAATAATAAAACATCAATAGAGTTAGATTATTTCTCTTACAAAAACCTTAGATTATTTCTTTACTAAAATTTTTAAATAGTTGATTATATAAACTATAGGAACAAAAACAATTAATCAATGCCCCATTCTCTGTTTTAAAATATATATGAACAGATATATTAAAAGTAATATATAAAAATAACTTTATATAGTATACTAATATGTATAAATGAATTTATATTGTAGCGATTATCTATCATATGTAATTTTGTGAATGAAAATATTTAGATGCTATAAATACGTTTATCTCCTTCTTAAATATACGCATATCATTTTTATATCCTCTTTAATATACTGTACGTTATAAAAACGAGATTTCTTCTTTTTGCTGTTGTTATCAATCAGCTCCACCGGAAAAGATCCCGTTCTACTGGCAAAATCATTTAATTAGTTAATATTTAGACATATTAAAAATAGCTATTAGCTAAATTATTTTTTACCTGCCACTGCTGCTAAGTAGTATGAATACTTTAATTTAGCTATATGTGTTTATTAATAAATTAGTAAGATTAAATAATATAACTTCTTACACAGTAGAACATCTTGATTTCGATCTGCTCAAGGATTTTTAAATACACTTCTACTTCATTTTGTTGGTGATTTACTTTTACCAAAAATATGATCTAAGAATCCACTGACCATGTTTTCTCGTTTTATACATAAGACTCGTAGCGCTAGACAACCCGGGACAACCTGGGTCAAGCAAAGGCATAACCCTGACCTGACGAGTCAGGTTGACTACAGGACTCGTGTCAAATAATGATAAACCCGATTCGGATTTTTAACACGAGTCAGGTCAAATGACCCATTCGGAACACGATAATAATAATTGATAGCCATAAATTTATTAAAATTTACAGTAATTTTGTAGATCAATTTTATTTAAAATAAATTCGAATAAGGCCACTTCAAGTCATCATCACCTGCCCTATAAAAAAGGATTGTCCGGTTTTTGTCCGGTTTTTGTCCAGTTAAATAAGCAGACAAATTTCGGACATTGTTATGTCCGGAAAGTGTTCCAAAACGTGATCGTTTCCGACATTCGGAATAAGTCCGGAATTCAAATATATCCGGAATATGTCCGGAATATTAACAATCCATATTAAGTGATATAAAAAACTGACATTTTCCAAACACATTCTGGACACTTTCAGAACATATTTTTTATTTCGTTTTTCCGGACAATTTCCATCAACGACATTGCCCAGATTTATCAATAATGCCGGTCAATTAAATATTCATAATATTGGCCCACATTTTGGCCCACATTAATTTCACATTTTGGCCCGCATTAATTTCACGTTTTGGCCCGCATTAATTTACATTTTGGCCCACATTAATGCACATTTTGGCCTACATTAATTGCATATTTCTGTATACATCAATAGCGCACTAATTGTACATTTTTACATTTTCATAGTTTTTTTATTTGGCATCTTTATTTATAAAACCATTAATACAAGCTATATAATTCTTTAAAAGAGAAAATACAAAAAAAAAAAAAAAAAAAAAAAAAAAATGATAAAATTGGGTTTAGAATTTGATCGCAAAAATACCATTACTACAAAATCTGCCTAAATAACCAAAAATCAGACTTATTAAATTAATTGATGTTTCTATAATGATGAAAAAGTAAGAAAATTAATAGGAAATAGTAAAAGGAAAGAAATGGAACTAAAAACTGAACTTATCTAGAACTGAATTTTACAAGAAAATTATTTCTACAATAAAAAAGTAAAAAAGAAACAATTAACATATATAAGAAATAAAATACCAATAAATTAAGAAATAATACTTACATAGGAGACAATTTCATAATGACCTTCTCTTGAACCTGTATTTGCTTGTCCACTACACTATTTTAAACGTTAGTAATGTAACATCTGACAACAAAAGATATTTTTTGCTAGTTAAGGACAAATAAAAAACTCAAATTTGAATGAAGCCCGTGAAAGAAAAGTAAAACATCTAAATTATTATACTTTTTTGCTTTTTCCTCTCTTTCATATTCATATTCTCTTTTTCCTTCTCTTTCAGTTTCTTTCTTTTCTGACAATTCTTAAATGATAAAAATAGGAAAAATAAAAATTAACAAGTGATAAACAAAATATTAAGCTACATAAAAAATTCTTTTTGAATAATTTCTATAAATACTTATCACAGAAAATTCACAATTTTTTTTATTTTTAGATTTATCATAGTTTTAGTATAGATCGGTTAGTTATAGAGGGTATTATATTTTTATATTATTTTCTAGGTGTATGTAGTTCTTTTTATATATACATGATTAATAAACGCGTTACTAATTTATAAAAAAATAAATAAATAAATAAATACTTACTACAAAACATTAAAACATATACTGTAGTTCGTTCCTTTCCAAATTAAATACTTCAAAAAGGCAAGCGTCAGACCTGATAGCATCAAATATCATCATTCTAATAAATAATAATAAAAAGAAATATTTCATATTAATAATAAAATTTAAAAATTAAAGAAAATAATTAACGATAATTAAAAATGAAAAGGTTTTAAAGAGTGAATAAACAAACAAACAAACACTCAAACACAATTATTTATTGCAGATCGGCAAAGATTCTGATTGGCCATGACCATGCGTCAGTTTTATTATGCTGCGCCCAGCTTTAATTAACTAATGAGATCTACCTGTTTTACAAAAAAAAAGAATTCCATTTTTTCTTTGCATTTACACGAAATTTGCTTTAAAACCAAATTTTTTAAGATCCTTTTAAAGTTATGCATGAAAATTTTTTTACTGACAGAAATATATGTAATTTTATGAGAAGAAAAATGTTTTTCTAATATTAAATAGTCGGGTATTCAAACAGTTTTCGCGTAAAATGCAAAAAATCAAATTTTTACTATAAGAAGAGGCTTTTATTGGTTTGTATGATAATTAATATTCATTTTTATTATTATCAATATATTCTTTTATTTACAGCTTTTTTAAACTATATTTGTTTTATTTTTGGTCTATACTTATTGCAATTTTCTTCTTTCCTTTTTTTAGGCGTTATTTCTTTTTTTCAATTTTTTCTTTCACATTTAGATCTTTTCCAATAAGGGAGGTTAAAAATTTAATTTAATTTTTATCAACCTACAAGAAAACAGAAGACAAACAATAATTTAATAAAACTTACTGCTACGAAACAAAACCTCATTTCTTTATTTCATAGTCCACAGTTTGAAGAATCTGGTAGGAGTTCTTTAATTCATCATTTCTTTCATGCTATTTTCTTGATTTCATCTTTATTTACTTTTTTTTCATTTTTCATTCTTGTTAGCGCATGAAATGGCAGTTTGTAATCGGCCACATATGTTCATAGAACTTATTATTCAATTTTTGTCAAATAATAGTAAATAAAAGCAATTTTCTTGCATGTTATAGTTGTGCTAGCAAAAAAAGTTGACATTTGGTCAGCTGCTGTATAATGAAAATATTAATGATTAAAGGAAATAAACAGATCTTTACGTAACCTACCAGTCACAAGATGATTCAAATTAATTAATTCAGAATAATGTAAAAAGTTTGGGGGAGTGCTGTTAGTTCTTGATTTATTTTGTTTTTGTCTTTCTTTCTTTCTTTTTAAATTTTTTTATTTTCGTCATCTTTTCCTTTTTCATTTCATTTATTTACCTTCATTTTTCTTTTTCTTTTTATCTATCTATTTTTCTTATTTTAGTTTTTGTCTTTTTTCATTTTTAAATTCTTGATCTGATCTTTAAAATTTTTTCTTGGTCCTTTTTGCTTGTCTACATTCATTTTTTATTTCATTTTTTACTTTTAAACCATGGAAATTCTGATATAAATTTTTATTTAGGTTAGTTAAGTTAAGGCCATATTGTAGTTCATGTAAAATTAAATAACCAATAGATCATCTTTTAATCATGCATATTATTGTAAAAATTTTAATTAATATAAATAAAATGTTCATTTTGTTAAAAAACAAAATCTTAACTAGTTTTTTTTACATATCTCCACAGTGAATAGTTTTAATTGCAAAATTAAACTTAGTTAACGAGGAAAATTATTTGATAAGTTTCTAATTCACATATACATCGGGAAATTTTTCAGGTGGTTATATGTTGATGAAAAACCCACGTGATAAATATCAATAATAATCAAACTTGTCGAGTAATATCGATATGGTTAAATTACTAAATTACAGCAATCATTACTATCATTAAATAACGTTAAATTACTTTATTATTAAGTGGTTTTTACATCAATAAATTACATTTGAATCTATACAAATTCTAAACTAAATTCTATACTAAAACTACTATACAATCTATCTAAACTACTATACAAAATCTATTATATAATCAGATCCCAACACTCCTAATCAATATCCTTGGATTATCTACAAAAAAAATGTAAAAATATTTTTAATAAAAATAAATAAAAAAAAAGAAAGTTTTTTGAAGCAAAAAACTTACCATCCAAGCCAAAGGATCCGAGACTGAATCTAACGCCAAAACCTAAAAATTTAACTAGTAAAATTAAAAAAAAAAGTTCATTTTGCAACGTTCTGTTGCGAAACTTACATTTCAAGTATTCCTAGTACATCTGAAGAAACTGGTCGCATTAAGAAAAAATTAAGAAAAAAAATAAAAAATGAAATAAAATGTAGTTCATTAAATAAAAAGTGCAAGGAAGACTATGATCGAAATACCACGAAATTCTATGAACCTAAGTACGTGTCCTATTAGAAACATCGGTCATTTATAAAAAAAGAAAGAAAAAACAACGAAACATTAGTAAGCTTCGTTATAATATGAAAGATTTCCATAAAACTTTTAAAAAAAAGTGTTAAAAGATAAAAAAAGAAACCCACCAAAAATCATACTCCAGAACAAATTGCTGAATTCCAAGTTCTAATCAAAAATCCAAACTTCTAATCCGTCTAAAAAGAAAGAAAAGAACGAAATGTTAAGAAAATATTTTTGAAAGAAATATATTAAAAAGAAAACCACCTTTCCCTCTGAATTCCCACGTTTCCAAATATCCTGAATAACCAACAGCTACAAAAGAAAGAAAAGAACAGAATGTTAGACATTTCAGTAAAAGAATTATTTACAAAATCAAACCTACTTACCAAATTTCCCATGCATCCAAACACCCCAAAGGAGTGACCGTCTACAAAAAAGAAATAACGAAATGTTAGCGTTAGTAAGCGTTTCGTTAAAATAAAATTTATTCACTTATACCGAATTGAAATAATGACGTTGGTGTTAAATAAAGTTTAAAAAATTGAATCCTATCGAATTTTCTGCATGATATTAAGAGATCAGGTCACCTAAAAACAAAATCGAAAAGTTATTAATGAACGACTCGTTAAGATAAATAAATTTTTTAAAAAGGTTCCTACCAAATTTCTTAGATAACTAATTGCATCCCAATTTACCTTTCGTATTCATGTTAAGAAATCCAGCTGTCTAAAAAAGAGAAATAAGTAATGAAATGGTAATAAATAAATCTTAAAAAAGATTCTTAGTACTGAACTTTTCACATGATGTTAAGAGATCGATCACCTAAAAAAAAAAATAAAAAAAAAATTCAAACCGTTAGAAAACGTTTCATTAAATGAAATAAATTCAACCAAAAAAATTAATTCTGATATCCTCACCGAATTCAAAATCCACCCGTCTAAAAAAGAGAAAAATCTAATCGTTAATAAACGTTTATTTATTACTGTAAAAATCAAAAAAAAAATCCACCTACCGAATTCCAACCCATCCAAAGGCTCGGGCGCTTAAAAAAAGAGAAAAGTTAGTGTTAATAAACTTTTCGTTAGAATAAATAAATTAAGACAGAAAAAAATCTTTTACCGAAAACTGATATCTCGCTTCCAAAAAACTTACCTAATAAGAAAAAAAGAACAGTTAGAAACTATTCGTTAAAATAAAAAAAATTAAATGAAAAAAAAAAAATAAACCTACTGAAATGCCGCTTTCATCCTAACCGAAATTCATATCCAAGGGAATTCGAGGAACTGGTCTCCTAAAAAAAACGAAACCTTAATAATTGTTTCGCTAAAAAAATATTTTTTTAAATAAAAAACCTGATATCTACCTTGAGATCTGATGAACCTGGTCACCTAAAAAAAAAAAAAAA